CTCTCATAAATAGCGTAACTAGTCGAGCTACACGTTTCGTTGTTAGTGCACCTGCATAAAATTTCATTTCAGCCCTTAAACCCATAATGAATATGCATAATGTAATTGTAAATACTTCCATATATGTATACCCATACATATACTTCCGTATCAATCTACCCGACAATAATTTAAACCCACAATTAAATACGTACCATATACACATGCAAGCATGCATACATAGCCGTACCAAAGCTACTCTTCCCGACCGCATGCTCACATCTTGCGGTCATACACTCATCTTACCTTGGCGTAGAGGCATTTGATCCATACATTACCATTCAAGTGAATGGCATCCATACAATAGCACGCCGTATGGACGACGAAGTAAAAACCCCCATGTTAGTACTTAAGTAGCCACCTAAAAGTCCTTAATTTGGGCCTAAGGAAAGTGATCATTGGCACACTTTAGCTTTCAAATACCTATTATATAACTATTAGTTGCTAGAGAAGGGTTTTCGGAAAACAAAAACTTTTGTTTTAAATACACTTGTGACAATTAACGTTGAATCTTGCTCTGATGCCAGCTGTCGCAGAACCGACCAATTTATAAGAATACAAGTATAATGGCAATCCGCAAGCGGTCGCACTGTCATACTTGAACCCATATAAACCCGGTAGTCCGTCGAGTACCACGGCGGGTCTCGATAAAAACGATTTACAACAACCAAGATCGTACAGATTCAACATACATGCCACATATTACATAAAGTTCACAGATACTTTCATCATCGTCAGTCTGAATAGAAAGTTATTACAAACCGAGTTTGATAATTAAAGCGGAAGCAAATAAGTTTGAAAATAAGTTTCCAACGTAGTTTGATACGAGTGCCGAGCCGGATCACGATCCACAAAAGCAAAGATAGGAATTACTAAGGAAGCTTCGCCCAAGGCTTACTCCTCATCCACAATGGGATAGAAGCAACTCTTGCAATAACCATGATACACAATTGCCATCTCGCAACATTGGGAAAAATAAACCACGAGTACGAGAAGGTACTCACTAGACTTACCCGTCATGAACCGAAAATAAATGACTCCAAGGAGTATGCAAGGTCATAAGTGGACGTAACTTGACAACATTTTGCGAAAAAAGGCAATTGATCCGTTGTACAATTATGATGATTCCTTTATCAAGTTAATTATAACTATCCATTTCTAGATTAGCAACTATCACATGTACAAACATGTGGGATATCATTCGAAGCATCCAATAGTAACCATAGCGGTATTGTAATTCCATATTCATCTCGAACCACCATGTTTCATAATATAGTCACTTTCACGATGTTGGGACTAGCCAAGTTTCTCACTATCCCGGGAGAGACGGCGATTCGAATCGATTTCAACCACCGGGAATTTATTCCTAACACAAACCCAGATCTACCGACCACGATAGTCTTAGGTCACCTTTGGTACAACTCCGGTACACATTTCGCGGGTTCGTACTGCGCCGCTGTCTGGAACACCAGATGCCGGGATGCTCGAGCCAAACCTGCCCTTGGGCTCGGTCGATCGTTCCCGGAAGGCGCGCTATGAAACGATTCCGGCACCGAGTTGAATTACTCGGCCAGCGGTCGGAGCAAATTATCCGGCCAGCTAAGTGAGAGGCATGCGTTCAATCTTGTCGAAGCGCCAACAACAGTGCGGTCCTTAATCGACACGAGGCGGGATAAGTCCACACCCAAGACCTCCATGCCTTGTTGCTTCCCTATCGATCTCCCGTCCGGTCTCAATTTACTTTTACCTCATGGTTCTGTTCCACGATAGCAGATATAGCCAACCGTGCTCCGGTATCCACCTATATCTCGCAGGTGACAGGACATCACCCGACTTCTACCGGTCTAAGCATGGCTAAGCATATAGATATTCGATCCTGGACCTATACCGGTTAAAGGTGTAATATCTGGACAAGGAATGTACATGCATCAAGTGGTTTCATTCAACTCTTATAACCTAATGCATCAATCATAAATACGTAAGTAAACATTTGTAAATTACTGGGAGACTTATAATGCTCCGGGGCTTGCCTCGCAGAAAGGAAGTAGGACGGTGGTCAGGGCACTCCGGAAGCTCTTCAGGGTTCTGCTCCACGCCTTCGGGAGCTGCGGCTTGCGGATCCTCCTGCGGGTTCCCTTCCTCTGCTTCTTCGAATTCCAGCAACGTGATCTCTTCCTCCGATCCTAGATGCATGAGTATGGTATAAGTATTATGAATGCATATATGTTAACAAGTGCATCACGTTGTTTGAGTAGGTGCATATCTCTTCTCGTTTACTACTTAACTACTTCTACAAAGCATCGACTATGCCACAAACAATAGCTACTTGTTTCGCTCATAACTGGAGTTCTACAAATCCAAATCTAGTGATCTAGGACTTTCTGGAAAGCTTATCCAATTCTCTACAACTTTGTTATTAACCATTTTTACAGTACACATCAGTTTCAATATGCAAATCATCACACTCTAGAATCAGTCCGGAAATGACTTAACATGCAACATAAAGTAAGAATACTTCTACTTCAGGTAATCATTCAAAATTTGACAACCTAGAACCTACCAATAGTTTAAGCATACCAAATACAGTTAAGATGATATAATGGTAAAGCCCAAACTATTTATTAAATTGCCTTTATTATTTTTATTTAGATATCTATGTTAAATAATCAATATATATTAGATGTGCTTAATAAATTCTCAAAAATTTACAGAGCCTTAATAATGCTATCAAAGGACTACTATAAAAATTTCATGTCATTTTACCAAGTAGAACATTCTATACAAAAATGACAAGGCAGCAAGGCTTGAAATAGCATAAATGGAAAATCCTATTGAAAAGTGTCAAACAACAGATTTCATATTTTTCTTAGCATCCATATGGTACTAGTATCACCTCCAACAAATTTCATGAATTTTGGACTCATAATTAATTTATAAAAATTCATGCAAGGATTAACTATTTATAAAAGAAAAATCTATAACTATAGATCTACACATGCACTGGTTCTAAAATTTTTATCCAAGCTCATGTATGCTAATAATAGCCTACCACAAAAATTTCATAATTTTTGGAGCACAGGAACTCTAGATATAAAATAAACAAATTTAAATGCATTCAAAAGCACATTTGAAATCCCTATTTAAATCTCCAAAAATTTCTACTGTTGAAGCCAAGAACATATTTTTCCTAAATACTACACTCCCTAAGGAACACAACCATATTTATTTCAACATTTTTGGAGCTACCAATCTGCAGATACAAAAATAACAAAACCAATCAAAAAGCTGGATTCAAAATGGTTTAGCCTACACTCTCTCGCTTGTGTCGTGACGAGTGGGACCCACTGGTCAGGGGACCCCACACGTCATCGACAGAGCGAGGAGCAGCAGCGGCGCTGCTTAAATCCGCAGCGGCGAGAACTCGACGACGGGGAGTTCGCCGGCGGTGAGGTCATCAGGGTAGGACCTACATGACCTGGCGAACCTATTGAGCAACTTGGCTGGCCTTATTGCTGACCCTAAAGCTAGCGGCGGCGGCCATGGCGGAACGGCGAGGCTGGACGACGGCGTTACGCCGGTGACGACCTCGGCGGCTCAATCAAACGCGCGGACAAGCATCTACGAGCTACTGGAAACCTAGCGCATCAACTAACGCGTGGAGTGGTAGACTAAAACGGCGTGGCCACGACGACGAGGTTGGCGGCGGAGCTCCGGCGAGCTAGCGCACGGCGCTGGGGCTTACCGAGTGCTAACAGCGGGCACGGTAGGGCGCAGGGGGTTGCTGGGAAGACGGTGGAGGGTTGCGGTGGGGATGGAGGAGCTGGGCGCGAGCTGGCGCCTCCAATGGCGATGGCGGGCTCTCGGCACCGGGGTTGCTGCTGGCGGCGAGGTGAGTGGCGAAGAGAGCCGGGAAAACGAAAATCTGGCCGGGCGTTCGCGAGCGCGCCTTGGCGACTTGAAGGCGCGCCAGACGCGGCGTGGCTCTGCTGGTCGAGGCGGCGGGCGACGCTGCCCGTTCTCCCTTCCACGCGGCGGCCAAGGCCTGACGGCGGTCAGCCATGATCATTTGATTCAGCTCGTTCAGACACCCGAAGCCGAGCCTGACGCCGAGTTTTCACGATGATACAACGGCTAATCCAAGGCTCCAAAGCGTAAACCATCTTAACAAAAATCCTAGCCCTATGTACCAGCTTCAACTTTTATTAAGAGAGTAAGCTCTGATTCGCAACAGAAACGTGGAAAAATCGTGCTCAAGGTGGGCTTGTCAGGCTGTCAGTCGAGCATACACTTAGAAAATTTGTTAAGTGTTGAAAACTGGATTTTGCTGGTTTTTGTGGGACCCATTCAAGCATGTTAGAAGCAAAATCAGTCCATGACCTAAAAATGGAAGTTGTTCCTTATGTCAAATACTACAACTTTGCTTTAGTGAACTCCTCCATGCAAGGTCCCTAACACCTAGTTCAACTTTAGTCAAACATGTCACTTTGAAATCAAGATACACATTCAAACTATGGCTAAATGACCAATTTAGCCCTAGCCCTAAAACCAAAGTTGTTCATGATGATACTCTAAGCATGTTAAAACAATTTGCAAGGTCATTCAAGCATTCTATGAAGTAGTCACACATATAGCCATTCAGTCAACACATGAAATAACACTTAAATGCTTGATCAAGAAATGTGGTCTTCATGAACAAGGTTCCTTTTGTTAACCTAAGTGTAGCTAAGGTGTTATAGTGACCAACATTACACACTAGCATTTGTTTGCACATGATCATATGCATATGTTCCAAGAATTACGAGATAACAAGCAATGTTTCATATGTTTCGATCGAATGTTTCAATTGTAAATGATGATTTATGAATGCTTGATGCTCATGCTTATGTTATGCAAGTCAAGTTATGCAAGGCTAACACCCGAGGTGTTACAGATGTCCTGCGCCAGCTTGTAGTCGGGTCCACCTCGAGCCTTGCCTCCGCTCGTCTGCGACTGTGGCGCGCCGTGTTGCCGTGGGCCGCAGATGAAGGTGTCGCGCGCGTGGCCTGAACGGGAGATGAAGGTGGCGCGCTCTGGAGCGAAGCCCATGTACGGGTTGGTCTCCGTCTTGGGGTCCATCCCTGAGGCGATGAGGTACTGGATGGTCTTCTCGATCTGCCACATGTCCACCCTGTTAGACCACAGAATCTATAAGCATAAAACTAGTATGTCTACTTACTGTTGAATAGAATCATGAATCCTAAAACATCTACTAGTACATAATAGTAGATAGAACGAGAGAAAAAGGAAGAGATAGAAAATGGACGTGTCAAACCTGACACCGCAGAGGGAGTCGATCCAGAGGCGTCGGCCATCTCATTCATCGGTGAAGTCTGCGCACGAGCAGCGACGTTCAGGGAAGAGGTTGATGAAGCCGTCGACGTCGGTAGAACGGGGCGGCGCGGCTGGTGGCTTTCCGTCACTAGCTGCGCCCCTCTAGATCGGATTAGGGTTTAGGTTTCGGTGCGGAGCTCGACTCAGTGAACCTCGTGACTTGAGCCGTCGGCCTCCACCTCTATTTATTGCGCAGTGTGACAAGAGTCCTCTAGCCATAGTGGGCTGGACGCCCCTGATCAGGGCGCGGATCAAAGGGCCAACTGGGCCGTTAGGCCCAGTTTAGGATTAGAGATCAATCTAACAATCTCCCCCTTATCTCCTACCATCTTTCAATTTCATATCATTTACTTTTGTTCATTCCATTACAGATTAGCGCATAGAGCATGTTTCATCGTCACGGTCAATTACCGATAGATTTACCAGCTACAACACACCACTCTGTTCTGAAATAGATACTTATCTTTGAGCCTTCTTTTGTCCAGGAATTATAGGCTTTCTCTTAAATCCATGCCGGCTACATGCTCTCTGAACACGTTTGGTGCTAAGCCTTTTGTAAGCGGGTCCGTGAGCATCTTTTCGATACTTATATGCTCAAGACTTATGACATGATCCCGGACTTTATCTTTCACAACATAATACTTTATGTCAATGTGTTTGACAGCACCATTTGACTTATTGTTGTGAGCATACCGTACGGTCGGATTATTATCGCAGTATAACTTAAGTGGTCTATAGATGTCGTCAACCACCTTCAAACCAGGTATGAACTTCTTTAGCCAGTTCACCTGCCCCGTTGTCTCGTAACACGCTACAAACTCAGCATACATTGTGGACGACGTAGTGACAGTTTGCTTTGAGTTTTTTTATGAAATAGCTCTCCATGCGAGAGTGAATACATATCCAGACGTGGATTTTCTATCATTTCTCGCATAATCAGAATCTGAATATCCCACTATATGGAGTGAATCAGATCTTTTATACGTCATCATGAGGCTTTTCGTTCCTTGCAAATAACGCAAGACTTTCTTTACTAATTTTCAGTGTTCTGTTCTAGGATTGCTCTGGAATCTACCAAGTAACTCGGTAACAAATGACAAGTCAGGGCGTGTACATACTTGAGCATATTACAAGCTTCCGACATCTAAAACATATGGAACCGCTTTCATTTGATTGATCTCATATTAGTTCATGGGGCATTGAAAATCCTCATATCTGTCGCCCTTGACTATAGGTGCAGGTGAGGGACTACATTTATGCATACTGAATTTCTTTAAGATTCTTTCTATGTATGTCTTTTGTGACAGTCTTAATACCCCTTTACTTCTATCTCGGTGAATCTCGATCCCTAGAACGAACGAAGCTTCACCAAGATCTTTCATATCAAATTTTGAGGACAAAAACTTATTTGTCTCTAGTAGTAGACTGACATCACTACTAGGAAGTAAGATATCATCCACATAAGGACAAGGAAGATAAACTTCCCATTCTTAAACTTTGCATAGACACAATTGTCCTCTAAATTCTCTTTAAATCCAAAATTCCTTATTGTCTAATCAAACTTCAAGTACCACTGTCTTAAAGCTTGTTTTAATCCATAAATGGATTTTTTAGGCGACATCCCATTCGTTCTTTTCCTTCCATGACAAAACCCTTCGGTTGTGCCATGTAAACATTTTTCTCCAAGTCCCCGTTGAGAAATGCCGCATTTACATCCATATGATGTAATTCTAAATCTTAATGTGCCACTAATGACATTATGATTCTGAAAGAATCTTTACATGAGACTAGAGAAAAGGTCTCATTGTAATTAATCCATTCTCTTTGCGTAAAGCCTTTTACTACAAGTCGCGCTTTATATCTCTCTATATTCCCTTAAGAGTCAAGTTTTATTTTGTAGACCCATTTACAGCCTACTGTTTTGGCACCTTTAGGAATTATTTCCAAGTCCCAAACTTTATTAGCATTCATAGATTTCATTTCATCTTTCATGGCCTCAAGCCACTTTGATGAATGATCACTTCTTATGGCTTCTTCAAATATGGTGGGATCATCCTCCATTTGAAATTCCTCAGTGTTGTATACTTCATAGTCAGCAGGAATAGCTGATTTTTTAACTCTTTGAGACCTTTTAGGGGCCTCCACATTTGGCACATCTTCTGTTTGAGGCTGTTGTTGCTCCCCCTCATGTGTGGCAATAGGTTCTACAAGATCCTAAAAAACAGGTTCCTCATCGTCATTCATTGTTGCCACAGACGAAATAATAATAGGTGCTGGCACCATAGTATCTTGCACCGTCGGTGCAGCGACCACAGGTAGTGAGAAAAATGGCTCATGAATCATCGGAGTGGGCGCATACACCCGCTTCTCTTCAAGGTCAATTTCTCGAGCTACCATGCTCTTCCTCATCATTTCATCCTCTAGGAAGACAGCGTGTCTCGTTTCCATAAACTTTGTATGTCTGTCTGGACAGTAGAAACGAAAACCTTTTGATTTTTCTGAGTAACCAATGAAATGGCAACTTACTATTTTGGGATCTAGCTTCCCAATATTTGGGTTAAATACTTTAGCCTCAGCAAGACTCCCCCCCACACGTTAGTGGTTTAGCGAGGGTACTCTTCCTGTCCACAACTCATACGGTGTTTTGGACACCGACTTACTTGGTACTCTATTGAGAATATGAATGACGGTTTTTAACACCTCCATCTACAGGCTCAATGGTAAGGTGGAGTAACTTATCATACTGCGCACCATATCCATCAGGGTACGATTGCGTCTTTCAGCTACTCCATTCTGCTGAGGTTTACCCAGTGTAGAATACTAGGCTACTATGTCATTCTCCTGTAAGAATCTTGCAAAAGGTCCAGAAACTTGGCCATATGGGGTATGCCGACCGTAGTACTTCCCCCCCCGGTCGGACCTGACTATCTTAATCTTTAAATTGTGTTGGTTTTCAACTTCTGCCTTAAATATCTTAAATTTATCCAATGCTTCTATTCTTTCTTTGATTGGATAAATGTAGCCATAATGGGAGTAATCATCTGTGAATGTTATGAACGAATCATAACCATCCACACTCTTTACACGAAACAGACCACAGATGTCTGTGTGAATAATATATAAAATTCCTGCGCTTCGTTTGGTATCTTTCTTAATTTTCTTTACATACTTTCCTTTTATGCATTCTCTGCATTGTTCTAAATCTGAGAACTCTAATGGAGGAAGAATATCATTCTTAACTAGTCTTTCTATTCTCCCCCTCAAAATATGCCATAAACGACAGCGCCATAATTTCGACGATGCATCGTGAGCTCTCTTTTGTTTTCTGTTTACATCCGTAGACAAGGATACATTCTCATTGTCGCACGCAATGTTCTCATCACCGCATACAGCATTCACATCATCACGTAGTGATAATAAATAAAGTTCATTTTGTAAGATAGCAAGACCAACACATGCATTATTAAATATTATTTTACATTTGCCATTTTCAAAATGGCAATCATATCCATCATTATCCAATCATGAAACACTAATCAAGTTTCTCTGTAAAGAGAGAACATAAAGTACATCTCTAAGTAAAAGTGTGAAGCCATCAGCAAGCTTTAGAGAAAATCGCCAACGGCTTCGACATCTGCTCGGACTCCATTTGCAACTTTAATGTGTCTTTCTCTTCTTTGCGTAGTCCTCGTCGAACGGAATCCCTGTAAAGAATTAGTAATATGAACAGTTGCACCTGAGTCAATCCATCAAGTAGATTTCGAATATTGTACATACAGGGATTCATTTATAAACGTAATAATGTTCTCACATTTCTTTGCCATGATCATCTTTAAGTAATCGGGACAATCTTTCTTATAATGTCCCATCTTCTTGCAATAGAGACACTGATCTTTCTCTACTGTGAACTTGTTCTGCTGAGGCTGATGCAGCATGGGACCCTTTCCCTTTGACTTTGAGAAGGAGTTAGCATTAGTATTCTTTTTCTTGTTGTCTTTCAGATAATTGATAGTGCCACCATTGGCAGCTTTCATTCTCTCTTTCTCTTGCACACACATAGCCATGAGCCTCTTCATGTCTCACTTCTCGGGCTGTATGTTGTAGTTGACAACAAAAATATCAAACTCCTTTGGCAAGGAAGCAAAAATCAGATGGATAAGGAACTCTTACTTGAGAGCCAGATCCATTGGTTTTAGCTTGGATGTCAAATTGCTCATCCTTAGTATGTGCTCTCTTATGCCATCATTTTCAGAGTACCTCTCTGTCACCAGCTGCTTTATCAGCTGGGTAGTATGTCTTTGAAGAGCCAGTGAACTGACTCTTTATTCTATCAAGGTACTCGGCGACGATGTCATACTCTAGGATTGAGCCCACAATTGCAGGTTCAATCGTGTTCTTTATCACAGCCATACATTTCTTGTTGACAGTGACCCATTTCATGCTCAAGGTCATAGGACATCTTTTGGGATGCAAAATTTCTCTCTGGTTGCCCAAGCGGCATTAGCCTCGTTTGTCTCCCTCACCGGTGCCACAGGCTTAGTGGGACACGGTGAGATGACTACCCAGTCCACCTCAGCTAAGATGAAAGCTAGGTCAATCTTTTTTCTTCCACTCCATGTAGTTATCACCTTTGAGAGTAGGGATCTCTTTGATACAACCCATCAAGTTGTATCCGCCTAAAAACATAATTCATATAGAGTGAGAACATAAACATAATAATAACAATTGCATGTCTTAGTTCCAACGTTGGTCAAAATTAAAACATACAATTGTCCTCTACACTAATTCTACATCACCGCTGGGCAGAAATAAAATTAATGCATGACAAAACTCATCATAATATTACCATTAATCAACGTTGGTCAGAATAATAACAATATTATAATAAGCTAAAAACATATACATTTTTAAAATTAAATTCTCCTGTTGGTTCGAATTTAATAATGAAAATAACACCTTTAAAATACGCAGCGGAAAATATGAACTCATTTTCTTGAATTTTACCCACAGGAAAAATTTATTTTTCTGATTTCTTTTGAGCCATTTTCCATTTTTCAATTTTACTGAAAAAAGAAAAAAGGAAAATTGGGCTCCCTCTTTACTGCTACTGGGCCCGAAGCCGGCAATTTGGCTTGGCCCACCACCTCTCTGGCATGCCCCGCCGCACCTACCAGCAAAGAACGTGGGCTGGGCTTAAAGTGTCGCGTGGCACATGGCATACCACTGGCCACGAAACGGCCCTTCGATCCGAGCCGTCATGGCGATCCCACGGCCGAGTGGCGTTATCGGGTAAACAAGACCCCCTTTTGCCGGCGCGGACGAAGCCCTAGCGCCATTCCTTCCCTCCCGTTCTCTCTCTCTCACTCACCATGGCGAGAGCCCGAAAGGCGAAGCAGCAACGACGAGAGCGAGCGAGGCCTCGACGCCGCGTGCCCCCTCGCCCACGTCGTGCGTGCTCCATGACCGGGGCCCAGCGAGCAGCTGCCCCTGGCTCGGCCTTCTTCTCCTCGCGACGCCGGGCCGCCGCGACTACTTGCGGTGTCAAGTGTCGGCGGGCCGAGGCAAGCCTCCCTTCCCCTTCTTCCCCATCTGATTTTGGTCTGGTTTGTTCTTCTCGGATTCAACCAATTGGGGATCTAGGGTTATGGTTTCGGTTAGAGTTAGGGATTCGCTCTGTTCTTCTTCTTCCCGTGATTGATTCGCGGGTTAGGTTTCGGGTTTGAGATCCGAGACCTTTCTTTTCTCTGTTTCTTTCACCCAGTTAGGGTTAGGGTTTCGTTCACTGTTCATCTTCCCCGACGGGTTAGTGTACGGTTGAGTCACTGTTCTTCATCCCCGACGGGTTAGGGTTCGTTTCCCGATTAGGGTTAGGGTTTCAATCCGAAAACGGATCGAACCCTCTGTTCTTTTCTCAGATCCAAATGGATCTAATTTGATAAGCTAGATCTATACCTAAACGAGGCTCGGTACCATTGTTAGACCTTGAACATGATCTATAGGCATAGAACTAGTATGTCTACTTGCTGTTGAATAGAATTATGAACCCTAGAACATCTACTAGTGCAGTAACAATTGGTAGAACGAGAGAAAAAGAGAGAGGTGGAAGATGGACGTGTCAAACCTGACACCGCAGAGGGAGTCGATCTAGAGGCGTCAGCCATCTCGTTCGTCTGTGAAGTCTGCGCACGGACGTAGCGACGTTCGGGAAGAAGGTTCGATGAAGCCATCGACGTCGGTGGAGCGGGGCGGCGCTGCTGGTGGCTTTCCGTCATTGGCTGCGCCCTCTAGATCGGATTAAGGTTTAGGTTTCGGTGGGGAGCTCGGCTCAGGCGAACCTCGTGACTTGAGCCGTCGGCCCCACCTCTATTTATTGCAGCAGTGTGACAAGGGTCCTCCAACCATAGTAGGGCTGGGCGCCTCCGATTAGGACGCGGATCAAAGGGCCAACTGGGCTGTTGGCCCCGTTTGGAACTAGAGATCAATCTCACGCACACTCGCCGTGAGGAAGAGGTACTTGTTCATGAGGTCGCCTTGCCTGTTCTCCACGGCGGCCCTGGCCCTGGTCCACGCCGCCCAGCTGGTGGGGCTGGCGCCCGTCTCGTCGCGGACGCCGCCGTCCAGGGTGTTGAGCATGGTCTGGTACGTCGGCAGCGCCTCCTCGGTGACCATGTCGCCCACGAAGCAGACCAAGTAGTCGTCGGGGATCTCCCGGGCGCGCTCCCGCAGCTCCCGGACCTCGTCGGCGAAGGACTCGGAGGCGGCGTCCGGCAGGTAGTCCTGCGGCTGCCACGACCCCTCCACGGGCTTGAGGAGCACCAGGATGTTGTCCGCCGCACACGAGTCCAGCGACTCGAAGATCTCCCGCTTCTGCGGCGGCAGCGAGTGCTCCACGGGCCGGTGCACCTCGCGTGGAGGCGCGAACGGCTTCCTGTTCGGAGCTCTCACCCTCCACTCATCATCGCAAGATTAGTAAACTAAACAGCGGCCGGCACAAAAGGAAATTGAATTGAGACATGGGAACCCTTGTTAATCTATCTCTAGCTAGGAGTCACATTTCTGAATCACTGAAAATTTGGAGCCATCAGACCTGTAACAAATAACAATCATCTAACACGTCTCTAAGAATCCATCTCACACAAATTCCTACTACGCTCCTACTTGTTTTGTTCGTTCTTCTTCTTCTTCCTTGAGATGATTTGGATAGGTGTTTTTTTTTATTGATTACTATTAGGTGTGGCTAATGAGTGATGAGTATATTACTCTCCAGGTGGCTGGTGCTTTTTAGGGTGCTGCTGGTAAGTACTGTAAGCATCACATTCACACCTACGGCGTGAACAAACTGAGTGTACACCAATAAACAGACAGGCTATACTAGTATCCAATACCAAATAAATCAGGTGCTCAAAATACTTCCTGATCCTGTCACAAATACTGAATCTGTCTAGAAATGCCTTAATTATATGTCAAACAAACATTTTTATGTTTGACTATGAGTACCGTACCTAAAATATTACTCTGCAGCTTGACAACAAAAAACACGGGGGAGAACGAAGAAATTGAAATCCCTGGCAAGAACATGATTCAGAGCAGGAGAAGGCAGAGCTCACTGGGCTGCGGAAGCCATGGCCACCACCGAGGAGAGGGCTCTCCTCCTGCTCACTGGGCAAGGAGGTGTCGCCGCTGCCGGGCAACCGAAGGCGCCACAGGAAGGGAACGCCGCCGCCACCGCCACCATCGGAGACATGGCCGCCGCCACCTTTAATCTCCGCGATGCTCTAGCTAGCTGGCTACAGTACAGGTGAGAGTGTGGCTAGGCTCTCGGCGAACAATGAGCGATCGGCAATTCAATTCCAATGCGGTACTAGCTAGCTAACTAGCCGGGCAGTATAAGCGTGGCGCGTGTCTGCAGGTGCTTGCGAAGCTCAAACTGGTCACCATCGCATGAAGAATGCATGATGCATGCTGTCGTGTCCGGTACCCTTCTGTCCGGCTCCGGGGGGAAAGAACGAACAAAAGGATTTGTTAACTTGCTTCTGTTTACATCCACACCCATATACCGTCGTTCCTATACTGGACACCGAAAGCGTCTAAATCTTGCATAAATACATCAGCGAGCTAGTACGTTCTTGGAGAAGATTCAGGGTGAAACAGCAACTGTCTAAAAATCTGACTTACATTACACGTATCCCGAATTTATATATATTGGCTATTATATGGTACTCTAAATGCAGATTCGAAATATATAAATATACAGTACCATATCGGCTCACGTCTTCGACAGCGAGGCGCCAGTGGTGCTAGCTCAGTTCTTCGGAGGTGTGTGTTCATAGAAGTGAGTGTGCGTACGTGTTGTGGCATTTTGCGTTGTACCGTATAATTCTTAGGGCTTGTTTGACAGGGCTCTGGCTTATCTGAAAATGGCTCCGGCTCTGGCTCCTCTGAAGGAGCTGAAGCTGTTCTGGAAAACATTTGGCAAAATGGCTCCTTCGCACTAGACGACGTGAACCCACAATAAGAAGCCGCGCAAAGCTCGTTTTTTTAGGCTTCTCCTCGTCAGGCAAAAAATTGCTTCGGCTCTTGACCGGCTCCTCATGTGGAGCCCTTTCTAAAATAGGCGTTTGGCACAGCTCCTGCAGGAGCCGGAGCCGAGCCGGAGCCGAAGCCGATGCAGGAGCCCTGCAAAAGAGGCTCTTAAAAAACATCGTCTCGCGGCTTGGCTATTGCTTGAAACGAGACGACGTACAGTACAATCCAACTGTACGGAATAAAACCAGCATTCTGAGGACCGGATTTGATTCAGTGTGCACTGCAAAAGGCTGGGATATATATAGATCCGGCATTACTACATCTACTGTTATTCCAGGCCCAGATATTAGCATCATTTACAGGCCTGATACAAGTAAACGTGGGCGCACATTCTGCATCATGAGACATCAATCATGTCTTGAAATCAATCAAGACAGGGGCGGTCACAAGTAGGAACGTACTTGAGCAGCTCATCTATTCTCAAATGAAGGCTCTACAAGTAGGCGCTGGCACAGTTTTCTTTTAAACTGTCTGCTCCAGAATCCCAATCCTGCATCTCATTAATGAAATTTGACCCCGGGCCGTACTTTCAGCTGCTAATAAGAAAAGGTAACAGCTTAATCATGTTGACAACACGGCGCTGTCGTTATCATGCGAGTGCCAGCGAAAAAGATGAAATCAACTGAAGACCCAAACGGCCAGAGTTCAATACAGGTGAAATGAGAATACATCACGACGCTTCAGCAACTCAATGAACCGAAGCATAAATGTTCTATTCATTATTTGTCAATGCAACACGCAAAACTAAAATTTCAAGCAAACAAGATTGCACATGAGACCAACCAAAGCCAGCCTCATCTGAACTCTGAAATATGAAGGCAAGCGGGATTCCATCCTATGTGAGTATAGTACAACTGCCGCATCCCACGCATTCAAGGGCATCATCAGGCTTTGATGGTCACGCTGCACAGGCAAGAACCTGACGGCTTCAGCTTCGATGTGCACCACTCAGACCCCATCGGAGCTGCAGGATCATACATCAGCGTCTGATACCCAGGCTCTTCCTCGATAGGGAAGAGCAGCAGCTTGTCCTCATGTACCCCGAAGGAAAAACGAGTGCTTGAGCTTCCAGTAAGCGGCACAGGGACCTTCTGCCAGTTGTTGTCAGCCGGGTTGAAGATTGCTAGAGACCGCTGGTTCTTCCATTCGATGCAGAAGAGCTTCTCACCGAGGACTGCATGAGCTGTGACCATCACACAGCCGTTCTTGACCTGGTCCCAGGCATGGTTATTAGGATTGTACACGTCAACAAAACGGGAGTTGCCAATTGTGAAGCTTGAACGGCCACCCATGACATAGAGCTTCCCTTCAAAGCTGCACCCGAAGCAGCCCCACCTTGGTCTGCGTAGGCCCTCAATCAATGTCCATTTATTCTGTTCTAGGTCATAAACTTCAACGCTAGATAAACTCTCGCCATTTGGACCAAATCCACCAGCAACATATATCACCCCATTGACCTCTGCACAGGCAAAGTCACACCGAGCTACATTCATCTTAGCAAGCACAGTCCACCTGGGCAACAAGAGCATAAATGAATCAGCAAAACAATTCAAAATATTCAGACCTTAATATGTATTTGAATAATATATTAGTATCAGAGTTGATGGGTTTTTCTTGAATGCATTCAGATTCTTTCAGTATGCTGGTTTATCATTTGAATTCTGTGACATTAGAAATGAACAGAATCTTCCATAGTATAATAAACTTATGAGAACCCAAGCATACCTGTTGAGGCAAGAATCATATTGATAAACCTCATCTGAAACACAGTCTTTCCCACGGTCAGCAGCATAGCCCGCGATAACAAAGAGCTTCCCACCAATAACAACCACACCAAACCCAGCTTTGGTTAGTCCAGGCATTCGCGGAAGAGGGCTCTGCTTTTGCCCTGAACACTCTAAAATCTCCCAGTGCGACCCCTTTGTGCCAGCATCTGGAGTCAAGACATACACCCACTCCTCAAGTTTCCCAACCTCCTTCCTCACAGCTATGAGTTCCTTGCTCTCAAGAAACGACATCCACCTCTTGGAAACTGCACCCATGACAGGAAAATGAGTACGAGGGACAAGGGCAAGACATATCTTTGCCAAGTCTTCAGGCAAGCCTGGTATTAGATCACAGTATGAATCGAATTCCTCCTGGGGCATAAGCCCTGAATAAAGTTTGGGTCTTGTAGGAGGCTTGAGCTGCATCCTAGCTCGGAAGCACGTCTGTGAATGAGCAAGCTGTTCTTGTGACACAGCAAGCATTATGAGATGCAGCAGGCAGTACCCTAACGCTGGCCTCCTCTTGCAAGCCAATTAGGAATAACGGCTTACTTATAGACCCTTCTCTACTATAAATGACAATGGCTGAAAGGGAAGGATTCGTGGAATCCGTCGCCGATGGGAATGATCAGAGACAAGGGTTTGAATGATGCCGAGATTAGGTTCTTCAACTTTGATGCCTCTGTTTTCGTTGCCCTTGCTGTATCAAATGCCATCCGATCGCGAGAGACTGTGGAATGGATCTTCCTTGTAGAATCAGCAGTGCTCTCCTTATTGATGCCGTAGAAACAGTTTCCGCCCTTACACATGGCCCCAATATCTAAAGAAACAAATGAAACGTGCTGCTATGTTAGCTGAAAGAAAATTGTACCATTTCCAGAGAGAAAGGGAGGAGATGAATACCAATGTCCATATAAATTCGTATCAGAATTAGCCAGCAGTAGCATCCATTTCTTACGCCTGCAGTCATCAAAGAAACTTGACCGAGTTAATAACAGATTGACTCTAAAGCTGGTGAACTGATTTCATCAGGAAGTAGGTGGCGCAGGGGCAGACCCAGCAAAGGACATGGGTGTACACATGTACGCCTGATAATTTTTGCAAAACAATCGAAGGTAGCAGGCAAAATACATGCATATACACTTGCAACTGGATCAGATCCAAACACGGATACTAGTAAGTTAGGAATTGGGTGCTCGGTTTCGAGCAACAGGAAGGGAAGGCCAAGGGGCGGGCGTACCTGGTGGTGCTCGTCTCCGGCGAAGGGCCCGAAGAAGACCTTGGAACCAGGCGTTGGGCAGCGACGGTTGGTCGGTCGGTCGCCCAGTCGTCGCCGAGATTGAGGGAGGCAGAGAGAGAGAGAGAACGCGCACGCTGGGATGGTGGGGGTAATGGGGAAGAAGAGACAGGCCGGGGTCCGTGCTGGATGGAGGCTGTAGAGACTTGTCTGTTATAATAACAGCTAGCTGTCGAATCTATCTATATAATATAATAAAATAATAATAAATTTATATAGGAGAGGTGGTTTGTGCCGGGCAGTTTGGGTATGCCATAATAACATATTATCAAGGGGGTCTTTGATTCGACTCTAAATTTTAGTCGTTGTTCCATCGGATGTTTGATATATGTATGGAGTATTAAATATAGATTAATTATGAAATTAAATGCATAGATTGAGACTGTTTTGTGAGACGAATTTTTTAAACCTAATTAGTCCATGATTTGACAATGTGGTGCTACAGTAAACACACGCTAATGATGAATTAATTAGACTTAATAAATTCGTCCCTCGGATTACTGACGGATTCTATAATTTATTTTTTTATTAGTATTCGAACACCCAATGCGACACCCCATGTAATTCCTTCTAAAGTTTAGCCATTGGATCAAACACCTCTAAAACGGAAATCATGTGTTCTTCCAAATTGGCGGGTGCAAGCAAGGAAAATAAAAAGGCTCATTTGCCTATTATTATGGGGGAAAGGCTATTTGTTGTAAACAAAATCTTCTACTTTGTGAAGTGACACATCTCTAAATATGTTCCATTCTTAATTTGTCTAGATTATCTATGTTCGAGACCAATTTAGACCACGCTTGGATTCCCCGGCTGGGCCCTCTGTGCAATCTTTCTAATTTAAGTAGGTGGTTTAGGTGATTCCCGAAACTCTTGTTTAGAGCATGTCCAGCAATAATACTCAAAACAAGCCCCCCTATTTGCATGTTTGAGTAGCCACTCATTTTGATACTATCTATTTTTTTCTTCTAACTCCAACAATACCATCTAAATCACGGCTCTCAAATTCGTTATAGCCATCAATGACATGTGGGACCCACATGTCATCCTCCTCTCCTTGTTGCCATTGACGAACTTGCCCAGCGAAGGACGCCGTCGCCGAGAGGGGAGCGAAGGTGCAGCTAGGAAAAGAATCATGACCATCGGGGTCGCGCCAGGAAGGGCGCCATCACAGGGAGGAAGAGGTGTCGCCGGAGATGGGGCATGGGGTCCCGCCAAAAAGGACACTGCTGCTGGGAAAAGAAGTAGCTGCTCAAGGAGGGGAAGGAGCAGCCCGACCGGGGACGACGGGATATAGCGATGGCTCCGCTGTGGTGGACGATGGCGTATTAGGCACCTGGCGTTGGCAAATAGTCGTGTAGGGAGGAAAGAGATGGAAGAAAAAAAATTGGTAGACACTTTTGGCCCAACAGAAATGGGTAGTGGGAGAGAAAAAATAGGGACAACAAAAATAACGGCCATAGTAGGTAGTCTGCTCGAGTGCGTTTTTTTTTTGCCTTCGTTATCGAAATATAGGATAGGTAGTTGTTGAAGATGCACTTACATACCATCCAAAGTGGTGAAATTCGTTAATCTAACTTGACATACAAGGTTAGAATCAGTATAAGCAGTGGCGGATCTAAAGGGGGGGCTGCCGGGGCTACAGCCCTCCCTAAGCTGTCTTAATCCTTCATTAATTACTATAGCTTAGTGTGAATTCACCTTTAATTTTTAGCTTTAGTCCTAAATCTTCTTTGTTCAGCCCCTCCTTTGTCCCAATCCTAGATCCGCCACTGAGTATAAGTATGTTTGCGTCTATACTATGTGATTCGTAAAACAAATAAACAAACACTCTATTGGGATGTCCTTATTTGCGTTTGCGTGGACCCAAGATAAGATAATACGTTTCACTATATGATTTTTGGGCTTTTTCTCTATGGCCTCAGTTTGGATCTTTGAAATTGAATTTATTTTAATAACTATAATTTAGGCTCAGATCAATTAAACTAATATAGTTGTATATGAAATATATTTGTATATTATTGCTAGATATATAAGGGAGATACTTATATATAGCATTTCTACAATAGGGAAGCGAGTTGAAGAGCATGCTATAAGTTGGAGAGCAGAAACACAGCATGGTGATATATAGAATCAATTTCCATCTTCCACATTATAAATTTGAGATAGGCTTATATGTGAACTTGGAAAAGTTGTGGAATATCAAATTCCAAACAAAATAGTCTAATCCAATAAATAGATTCTTATTTCTCCAAATCGAGGTGATCCAAACGGTCCTTAAATGAAAATGACTGCAAAATCTGCACTAAAGTACCAGACTAGGTGTAGGGATTTGAGCACCGATGTTGAAAGCCATATTCTACAAGTCCACTATATGTGAATAGGTGATTGCCACATTGTCTCTCCATACGTGATGGCTGAAAAAGCCTGAAATGACATCGATAGGGGAATTGCCGGTAAATTGCCAGCATTGCAATATAGGACAGTATAGTAAACTTTTTTTTATCATATTATAAATAAATGATACAAACACGATATTCTTGAGGCCAATTTTGATACTTCCAAGAATCACAAATGTCATATATATATATATACTTGTGTGCGTACGTGGAGGGATAACCAACTAGATAAGTGCTTGCTACTATCTGAGTCACCAGCTTCATCTCGCTCTTGGCAGCAGTGGTAATAGCTCTCTCTTAAAGTACTGGAGCTATCTCTATCTATGTGTGTATCATCTTCTTTTTTTTTTTTGCGAAGATATATGTGTATCATCTTGACGTGTGTAGTAGGTGATATGCATATGGAACGGAATCTACAGGCATGCTCATTTTTCTTATTATTCTCTTGGCTATATATTGGCTTTGTCACTAACAGACGCCCCTCCCTGGTGTTCCTTTTGTCAACTTGGCTCATGGGAATGTTGTACACGGTTCTAGTACCGCCACTTTGACTAGAGTAATCTAATTATAAAATGTTAAAATAGATAGATAGTGAAATTTACTTGAATTTGATTTTTTGTCCTCATACCAATACCTTAACAAGCTAAGGCCTTGTATCATTTAATTTAGGGAAATTTTGCTGCAGGACACCGCTAAAATGCATAATATGCTGATGGCCAAGATGAGAATTTGTCCAAAGACACAGCAAATTCATGGTTCTTTGCCCAGACACACCGCACCGATTATTTTAATCATTTCTCAGATCTGCGGAGAGAGAAGGTGGATGAAAGGACTCTTTTGCCCTCGTCTTCCACCTCTGGCTGGTCACTGATTTTTGCTATAACACATCGCCGCCGCCTTTTCTTCTCCGGCGAGGTCTCGTCCTGCTCCCCAGCACCAGCGAGCCCGCCGCCACCTCGTGCAGCGTCGTTGACTCGTCGCCACCTAGGCATCTCGTCTCCGAGAGCGGCATCAGGTGATCATTTTTTGTTTGTGCGCAAACCATTTTGGAATTTGAAATATAGTTTAACAAGCTAAGACATTTCCAAATGTCCTTGGCATGCACATGCACAAGTATGAATGAAATGACAGTTCATCGTAAGAAGGCACTTTCGAAAACTAACACTACGGTCGCTCAATTCGAGATAACAACTAGCTGAAAGTTGAATCTATTGTTCACAGATTGTAATGACAGTACAAGGACAAGGATAAAACTTCAAAATGACGAAGCTTTCTTGGTACGGCTTGCCTCTTTGAGGTGAGAGGGGTTTAGTTGAGAGAGGGGCGCGACCGGGATGGCGAGGGATCGAGTCCATGAGGAGCCTAGAGAGCGCGGCGAAGCGCGCTTCCGACTTGACTTGGTGCCGACGTAGCTGCGGATGACGTGCTTGGCGCGCCCGCCCCGCCACACCGTCAGGCGCTCAGCTCCGACATGAGCCGCCACTCACTCCGCCACCGGAGCCCCCGCCGACGCGACCCGGCCAGCAGCCGAGGCCGGGGCCACGGGGAGAACCTCCTCGGCATTGGCTGCCATTGCGGCGCTGATAAAGGGACGCCACCGCCGGCATCGCTGCTTGGGCTTGGCGGAGCCGCTTTGTCTTGGTGCTCGATGGATGTGGATGAGGTGAGAGACGACACGATGTGCCCGCTTTTTTATCCATACCATCGCCGCGCCCGAAATTGTCGACTGTGGATCGGCGGCGGATAATTCCATCTGTCTTGCGCGCGGCGCGCTCACTCGGTCACTCCCC